CACAGACAGCACATTGGAGTTTTTCCACACTCTGAAATCCAAAGTGCAATTCTTCTAAATAGGAATCCTTTGAAATGTCTTACCTTGTACATGGCGTGTGATTTTGTATTCACCTGAAAAAAAAATCATTAATATATGGATTTATAGCTGATTTACTGCCTTTAACAGTATATATCTGTTTCAATAATGATGTAGATCCAATAAAATGAAAGTGGTACATTGGCAATATAGATAGATTCTTGTGGTATTATTTGAAACTGACCTTTTCGAATTGCACCGATCCATACTGGTTGAAGATCCTTTTCTTGTTTGAGTTGGAGCTTGAAGTTTGTGTCCGGATTGTCAATGAACACTTCAAAGAAATGTGAGTCTGCGTCTTTATCTGTGAACTTAAATGTCTGTGAAAGAAATAAATGATAATAATGAGGGAAAGGGAGATAAGTTGGTGCTGCATGATTTTTCTTTTTTCATGTTTTTTCAAATGATTAAGAAAATTGCTGTGGTGTTTTCACTTATGTCAAAGACATATAGAGACAGGGACCAATATCTGCTGTATATTGTCAGATATTTGTAAAATCTGGAGGAAATGAGGGATCAGATATATTATATATATATATAGTTTTTATTGCCTGTAACAATAGCTAATTTCTTTAGGTTTGAAGCACAATACATTTTTAATTATTAATACTGGTATTATAAAAAAATATCTGTTAAAGAACCACAACTACCATGAAATTCTTCACCCATTCAAACACACATGGGATGGGAAATTAAGTTACATGTACACTACCATAGCACACTGAATGAAGGTCAGTGGAACAGAAGCTATCCTTGAAGTTGTAACAGGTCTTGAGCGGTCTTTAAGACTTCATAACTACAGTTGCTGGAGAAAGTAACAAGCCTATAGCGCCAAAGAGCATGTGTATGGGCAAGTGGAGAGTTGGTTTTTTTTATACCGGCCTTAAAGTCTTCTACAAATACTTTTGGAAATTCCAATGCCTTTAACTAGACTGTTTCAGAGTGGCCTAAGACATTTGCATTAGGGTTTAAAGTATGTTACCAACACATGATGGTGAAAGTAAAGAGAGTAAACATTGTCATATTTTCTTTTTCAAAATATGAAAAAAAAACAGTTGTTCCATTGTGCTCGTCCTATAATATCTAACTCATTTCTCAACCACAGTTCACTCCACAGATTTAAAAGCAGTTCAAACCATACTTCAGGATAGATTTCTGCACCATCCAAATCTGCAGTTAAAAGGAAACGATCGCGCACTTTCAGGGACTTCTCTGGAGGTGGCTTTCGGATTACTTTGTATCCATAGGATAATTCCCTCTTGTCCATTGCCTGGAGAGAAAAACCCATTTATTACTAACCATTATCCATTTATCTGTGATGCTATTCTATATTTTATAATAAGTGCTGTTGCAATAAGATATTCAATAACCTGTTGTAGACCAGGATCACGTGGGATCAGATAAACATGGAGTGTCAGGAATGCTGTGTTGGTCTTGTATATTAACACATTACAGTTTACTTTCACAGGAATGCCAGCTTTCATCAGGACCGCTCTTGGAGAAAAAACTGGTTCTGATAACTTGACATGAGATTGTGTGACCTCAGACACTTTTTCCACTTCATCTCCACAGTCATTGATGTGTAAGACTGCAAACTTGTTGGCTATTTTAGGGTTGTCATCTGCACAAAATACAAGTTCACACAATTAGTGAGGAGAAAAGGATTGTATCTGTTTTTTATACTTTCCTTATTCTCTTCATGTCCACTTACAGATGCAGATCCAGTGTGGCAGGTACACTTCATCCAACTTTCCAGACCTGACTGTGATGTCAATTAGGGGACCTGCAGGCATGTATTGGATGCTTTCCATCATCTCTATGTGTTCCTCCCAAGAGCAAAACTGGTACTTAAAGCTGACCTTTTCCTTACATAACCAGCGCAACCCAGAGACACTGCATTCAAACTTTCCTGCTTCCGTCTGTAGGCTAAATCGTGGGGAAAAAAAGAGGTGAGTTTGGTGTTTGTTTATGCAAAACAATACTGTTTTAGGGGGACAATGGAATAAATGTAAATTTTGAGACCACGTTCCTTCAGTTAATTTGGTGCAAAATGTATTGAGAGATTTTGTTTTCCTTCTGTGAAAAGAACCAAACTCAACTTCCAGTTCCACTTTGCTGTGACGCAGTATTCAAGATGTTATTTTTACCTGTAAGATGGAGCCTCATCAGCATCTGTACTGTTCACTTCAGGTTCAAGTTTAGTCCAGTCACTGGAGTCCTGCTGCAGAGGACAATCATTTTTGCAAAAGAGAAGAAATGTTTCTTTTTGCATGATCACATAAATGAAAAAATACATGAATGACAAAAAGAAATGTGAGAAATTAATAGAGATATAATATGAGAAATATGAGAAATTACCATACTGCTGCCACAACCCTTAAGCTCCAAGCTTCTTGAAGGCCCTTCTGAAGACACATGGGATTGTAAATAAATTATGTTCCAGTATGTTGACATATAAAATTATATATTATATGTTCTTGTTTTCTGTCTGTCTGTCTCTAACACAGACAGACAGAAAACAAGAAAGTGTAAATTGACAGCAATTTATTAAGACTTCTAGAAGTTGTGCCACTTTGGATTGAGTTAAAGTAAAATACAAGGATACATCATTCCATGTTATAATTAGGGATGTGCCGATCCAATACTCAGTATCAATATCGGTCCCATACTGGCCAAAATCAATAAATTGGATATTGCAGAGAAGAAAAAAGTATAATATGATACAATCCATTAGCCTTAACTGTAACATAAAAGCTTAACTAAACTTTACACTATACATTTCCTTCTTCGTGGCAGTAGAATATTGGTTCCACAGTTTGAGCATGATGTTGTTTAGAGCTTAGAGTTAAGCAAAATGCATCCATACCACTGTGTGAAAGAAACGGTAAAAAGACAGTATTGGATTGGTATCAGTATCAGCAGACTAAAAATGCTTTAAAAGTATAGACTTTTTAAGCAACAGATTTCAGAATTTTAAGCAACTGTTACAACAAAACATGTAAGGCTTAATTTCACATTTATGCATCCTCAAACTGCCTTTATGTTAAGTTCTTGTATTTTAGCTATAATTTTGTTTACATTTAATATTAGCACATACATTTGTTACAGTTAATGTAATTTAATACAATGAATTGTAGTTTGTGTTAAACAATTCTACCAATAAGAGTCTAGTCATTCTGAGTTTATGTTTGTCTTGCTGCTGTGGACAATGCTCAGTGCTGTATGAGGTTGTACTTCACCACAATAGTGCTTTCAGCTAAATGTTAACAACAGCATCAGCTGCATCAGCTAACATGCTTATACAGGTGAGGCTGATGGAAATGGTAGTTTTGCAGGCCTCAGATATTGGACACACTACATGACCTGAGGGATGCGCCACATGAAAAGTTTGATTACTGTTTAATCCTCTGAGCATCACGTATGTGTGTACCAAATGTCCTGATCATCTATCTGACCTGCTTGTGGCGGTAAAGGAAAAATCCAGGGATCATCAAAGACAGTAGGATTTATTCTCTAGTGACCATCAATGTCTGTATAAAATTGAATGGCTATCCAAACAAAACAATCAGAGACAAAGGACACCATATTATTAACACCCATTAAATCTAAAGGACTCCAATGTAAAAACTTCTACCACTTCTACCTTCATGTTCAGATTCAGTCAAAATGTATGATTAATTATTATTATTATTATTATTATTATTATTATTATTATTATTAGTAGTAGTAGTAGTAGTAGTAGTAGTAGTAGT